GGAGGTCCTCTAGGCTGAGGAACGTTCTGATAAATTAAAGTTGCTATTATAATATGTGTGTGTGTGTATATATATATATATCTTTTCGGAAAAAAAATGAACGAACTAAGCGGCTGGTGTTTAATGCACTTAATATTGATGAAGACCTATATGAAATTTTTGGTATGCATTTTAAGAAGTGTTGCAGCATAGAATACTCATCATTTTTCATCTTTAATTTCTACTAATATATATATATATATATATATATATATATATATATATATATATATATATATATATATATATATATATATATATATATATATATATATATATATATATATATATATATATATATATATATATATATATATATATATTTTTTTATTTTTTTATATATATATATATATATATATATATATATATATATATATTTATATATATATATATATATATATATATATATATATATATATATATATATATATATATATATATATATATATATATATATATATATATATATATATATATATATATATATATATATATATATATATATATATATATATATATATATATATATATATATATATATATATATATATATATATATATATATATAGATTGAATTAACAAAAACGAAAAACGAGTTTTGTTTTGTAATTTTCAATAATATCGTAGATTTTTTTTAATAATAGTGTAAAAACGATAGTACACCATAGTACAACATAGTACACCATAGTATACCATAGTATTTTTAAAATTTGCTGAATTATTTAACAAAAAAGAAGAAAAAAAAACGTAAGTTTAAATGTTATAAATAAGGAAAAAAAATTGTTTATATATAATAACGTAAAAAATGTGGAGTGAAAATTGAAAAAATAAAGATGAATGAAAGGGCATTTTTGGAATGAATTTAATAAAGGATGTGAAGCAAATGTTTAGTTGAGCTTGTCATTTAATTCTAATTAGTTTTGTCACCAGGGACCTATATCTTAAGACCCCTTTTTTTAATTACTTTTCTGCACCTTTTTTTTTTAACTATTATTCAGCACGTATGAAGCAGAAAGTCAGTTTTTGCAAATTTTTGTTTACCAAAATAACCCTCGAGTTGCAAAGATTTCACAATAATGGAATTAGGGTTTCGGGAAAACCTTTCTTTTATATATATAAATTAGATTTTTGGCCCGGGATTGAAGTAAAATTAATACAAAGTAAAGTTCAATGTACACGACAAAATTGAAGTTTCAATTCATTTTGATATTTTGCTATATACATTGATTATAATTCCCCATCCATTAACCAATTTTGCCATACTTATTAATTGAACTTTATATTTATTATGTAATATGGGTTGTATATTTATCTTATCTTAGTTTATGTTGAAGTTTGACGATTTTTTTTCCCACCCATAATGGGCTTCAGTAAATTTACTGTAAATCAATGATGCCATTAAATCTCAAGTGTTTTTGAGCAACAACTTTACTTTTATTAATAAGATAAGAACCAAATATTTTTGTAAACAATTAAATAATTTTTCCATCAAATTAATATTAAGTAAAAATGACAATTTTGGTGAGAAAAAATACGTAAATTTGGGCCGAAAAAGTCTGGATACTTAACGGATTTTATTAAACTTGATTATATTAAATATATTAAAATAATAAAATT